CCCCAAAACCCCAAAACCCCATGATTCTAGAATATTTTAAAGATTTATAATACTTGTTAATAATATATTATATTGATATATAATCACAGGCTTTTCAATCAGAGAATTATAAAGTTAATGCATAAATAGTACTTAAGATCCTGATTTAAATATGATTGCAAGAAACCTAATATTTCTTAATAAATAATAGTGATCATCGTCATCATCATTCTTTTATGAAAGCAACGTTGGTAGCTCTAAGCTCCTCCATTAATTTTTCATAAGCTGTCATCTTCTTATATTTTCTAGCTTGCTCTTATTCATACAAATGCGATAGTTAAGGCATTGGGGAAATGTCAACATCATACCTCATCTAGCAGAATAAAGTTGAGGAAACTCTCCATAATTATCGATTACTTTCATTTTCAAGTATTTCTTGTTTTAATTTCTCAGCGGCTCGCTTGGTATCTTCGGTATACATAACTTCATGATATCCAGCAAGGACATATCCAGCAGTCATATGCTCAAATGTAGAGCCAGCTTATATCAGTAGGCAACCATCAGGAATCTTAACAGCTACCTTAGTCCAATCTTTAAGCCAAATGTATAAACCTGGTAATCTTGACTTTCCATGGCAAGTTAAGAAAGATATATCATAATGAAAACCAGCTAATGTTGTTCCAACATCGTTTCTTACGAGATCTGAACCAGTAGGCGCAAGTAAATGAGCTCCTCCTTCTAGTCTCTTAGTAAAGGTATCATATTCAAGACCCATACCTAGAGCAGCCATTTCAGCTGCTGTTTAACCAGCTTATAATAATTTGCAGCCCCAAGCATTCATTTTATCCTCCCAATCAGGGAATCCATCTGGTATGATTTGAGGAAAATTATCTAGTGCTTCTTCTGGTCTTTCACCCATTTTCCACATATATCTCCATTTCATATCATATGTAGGTGGAAACTGTGAGAGAGGCTTGTCCTCCTCAGGTAAGTCCTTGACTTTTTCATAATGATTTCTTGCTTTTTCTATTTACTCTGGGGTAACTCCCGTGAGATAGTTAAATTCAGGCTTAGCATCTCTCAATTCCTGCCCTTCATAATATATCTGACTGGTTCTTGCGAAATATTCTTCCATCATATCAATATAATCTTCATTATCTTTTTAGTTTGCTCTTGGGTCTCTGAATATCAATATTCCATACTTATGTAAGCACTCCTTGACTTTTTGACATTCATCTTCCCAGCCTGGCAAACGCTCGAGAAAAACTTTCACATCAATAATAGGTACGTCAGACATAGAGGATTTCGATTTCTCTATTGGTGAAGGTACTCTTTCAACTGAATGATTTTAATTGTCTAAAGATAGGAAATTCTCTGCTTTAGTAAGCAAGTCAAATGTCTCTTAATTAGGTTACGTAATCATAAAATAAAATACTATTGAATACCTTTTTCAAAATAATTTCTAAGTTAGGGTGAACAAATACGATTTATTTCCATATACTTCCTGCAAATGTCTCATTTGATCTCAAAGGGGTTTTGGGGTTTTGGGGTTTTGGGG